TGTCTATTGGATTAAGGAAGACACACCATAAAAGATAATAAAGTTTCAAACACCATATAATTCTCTATTGACAAATAACCTATCCAACCAATTGTTATTACATCACCTCTTTTTCCCCTTTTTTCCTCTCTTCAAATTGATCAGTTATTATTATTATTATCTTTTTTTCAATTGTTATTACACTGTATCCTGCTTTCTATACAATTAAGTAACTTACTCAGCTATGATCCTATTCTATACAAAAATTCCGTGTCTGAAGGCCTAAGTTTACTTTTGTAAGTTTTCAGTTTCCACAGGATCTCCATGTTGATCATATCCGCTCTGCTTTGAACATCTCTATTTTGTCCTTCAAATTTCCTCATATTCCTTTCCTGCCAAACATTATATATACAAGCATTGATCACAGCATTAAGATCCACATCTTAACTAACTGTATCTCCACATCTTCCTAAGCTTCTTTTGACAGGATGTCATTCTTCGAGGTAAAGCCTAGATTTCTTGCCAACCTTCCAACAGACTTAGAAGCTGATCAGTATAGCAGCATTCAAAAAATAAGTGCTCTTCTGATTCTGTTGGTGTTGAACATAACTCGCACTGAATATTTCCTGCCAGAATATGTGATGGAGGCGACAAATAAATAATATTAGGGTTTTAATTTATATTTCATAGGGATGTTTTTGTAATTTAATTCAAATAGATTAGGATTTATTTCCTACATTTGTTTTCTATTTAAGGATTTTAGCCGTCATTGCAAAGGTCGGTTGATTGTTGCTTAATGAAAAAACGAGATTTTGTCTCAAACCTAGTTTTGGTGCTCCATTTATTGGATCAAAGGTTGTAAATTAGTAGATTAGTTTTGATTTGTTTCATGTGTTGGTGAATTATAACTACTCATATTTTAGGTTTCCGGTAATTCGACGGACTGTAAATCGTTAACCTAGATCACTGCCGATTGATATAGGCTTCCGCCTTCCTGGATCATGAGTGGTTTGTTTGACCAAATTTCAAGTTTTTGTCGTGAAATTTCTCTCTCTCTCTCTCTTCCGGGTTGCTATGGTTCCAAAGAAGGACCAGCAGTTGCGCGACAACTTGAGACAAGAACTCAAGGGAGAATGTGATCGTTACACAAAAAACTTGGAACTTCGGCTTAATGGAGCAATTAAACGACAAGTAGGGAACGCTGTCGCGGTAGAATTTCAGCGGTTGGGGTTGACAGCCCATAACCCAAACGTGCCTCTCGGATTGAGAAGTCGTCCATCGATTCCGGTGGGTCGGGGGAAGCAGAAGATTCAGGCGGCAGTTCCTCGCTTTCTGGCCATTCTTCGCGGGCTTCTTTCCGTCAGAGGGGTGGTGTAGACGATTATCAGCGTTCGTGGGAAACCGGTGTGCAAATCCCGGAATTTTTGGGTTCGTCACAGCCGGATGACTTCGTGAATTGGCTGGCTCAAGTTGAAGAAATTTTTGTATTCCAGAATGTTCCTCCCGACAAACGCGTGCCTTTAGTTGCCAAACGACTTCGAGTCCGAGCCGCTGATTGGTGGCAGCAACTGAAGTTGGATCGCAGCCGTCAGAGAAAGTTGACAATTCGCTGCTGGTCGAAGATGAAAAGTGTGAAGCGGGTTGAATTCCTTCATGCTAATGTCCATCGTACCCTCTATCAACAACTGCATCTCTCAGGCAAGGCACTCTTTCTTTGGCTGATAACAAATCTAAATTTTAAGACTTATGTCCAGTAATGCCTCGGCTGACACACGGGATCAAAAGGGGGCACGCTGTAGTAGCGGCCTGCGTCTGTCGATTCGAAACATCGTCTCATTGCTTGGTCCTCCCTCTCTTGCAGCAGCTCATCAACGTTTGACGTCGATCGAGCAACAAAGGCTTGGTTTCGGCAGTCGTGGTAATTCCCTGCAGACTCCCAGTTTCTTGCCTATTCCTTCTGTTCCTGCAAAGCCAAGTTCAGCTGTTGATGCGATTGTTGCTCCACGTCCACCAAGGCTGGGAATTAAATGTTTTAATTGAAGCGCACTTGGACACCATCAGAGTGATTGCACTCAACCGAGGAAGCGTCCATTTCTTGGTGATGTCGATGAGACACCGTCCGTAGAAGTCGACGACACCGCCCCGGTTTATGATACTGATGGTGAAGCAGCTGATTTGATTCCTTACGATGATGATGGGCGAAGTATTCTTTGAGCTATTTTTCATGACGGTGACAAGTACGGCACGGGCGGAGAATTATTCACACTTTCCCGTGATCACCACCTACTTGAGCAATTGGAGAAAGAGCTTTCTTCAACTGTTTTGTGGCAAGAAGGAAGCCTGGACGTTTTTTCTCTCATCAATGAGATGCATGGTAAAATTAGGGATGCTTTAAGTTGTTCTGTCTTTTGTGACAAAATTGGGAAGCAACATTTGGGATGTTTTTTTCAGCTCTACTTGCTACGGCTCTCGGTGCTATTAATATGATTTCATTTCCATTTCGGGCATGGTTTCCTTGCCAATATAGTTTGCGTGTGTTTAAGGGTTTTCCAAATGACTCAACTACGCCCACATTTGATGATTGTTATGTACTTTCTGCTATGGGTGCTACAAACTTCACCAGGGATTACAAGTGGCTTCCTGGGACAACAATAATGTTCATGCTCAGTTCAACGAGACATGGCTTGGTGTTGTGGGCTAGTAAGTTCGTCGGATTTCCATTTGACCCCGGTAAACAAGCAATTCAATGCGAACATTGGAAGGGTTTTGCTCCGTCTCCCATTTGCTTGGTTTCCATTTGATCAAGGAAAAGCTATTTCATTTCCCCAAAATTCGAGGATGAATCTTTTCTAACCTCGGGGGAATGATGGAGATTGCAAATAAATAATATTAGGGTTTTAATTTATCTTTCATAGGGATGTTTTTGTAATTTAATTCAAATAGATTAGGGTTTATTTCCTACATTTGTTTTCTATTTAAGGGTTTTGGCCGTCATTGTAAAGGTCGGTTGATTATTGATTAATGAAAAACGAGATTTTGTCTCAAACCTAGTTTCGGTGCTCCATTTGTTGGATCAAAGGCCGTAAATCAGTAGAATAGTTTTGATTTGTTCCATGTGTTGGTGAATTAGAACTAGTAGTGTTTTAGGTTTCTAGTAATCAACGGACTGAAAATCGTTAACCTAGATCATTGCTGATTGATATAGGCTTCCGCTTGCATCAATATGCAACGTATTCAATCTCTCTTGTGTCCATAACATCCAATGCCAGGCAATCTATGAGATAAAACTCTGCTTTAGCGATCTGATCTTCAATTCATGAGGAAATATTCTATCAAAGGACACTAGAGAATAAGTCTGATCAAAGGATTTAATGGATTTGAGTTTTGTGTCCATCAAAGGATTTGATCTCCTACTATACTCTTTTGGAAAGTGATTAGTTTATCGTAAAATCCATGACAAAGAATTTAATTAATGTTCATTTTAAGATGAACAAGTCATTGTTAATAATCAGAGTTCTTAGTACAAACTCAATCTGGATCATAGGCAATCTGATCTTCAATTTCCAAGAGGATCAGTGATCTTGACAGGGATTTAGCAAGGTGTGGAGAGTTCTGTCTACGCTGGTATCTTGTGGTCTGTGGAGAATGGTCATTTGATTAGATTTTGGTAGCATCCAGTGGTTTGTTTGGAATGTTATTCTCACCGTAAATAATGAGTTGGATTCATCCTCAAATTTTTTTTCTCTATTAATGGATCCATACTGTGTAAATGGATTGCTACAAATGGTGAAAAAGTTTTAGTTTGACCGGTTGCTCGTTCTTCTGAATTGGGATTTTTTTTTTCTTTTCTAGTTGTGAAATCGTTGATTTTCCGCAAATTAAGAACTTGAATGGTTTGTTACATATATAGTCAGAAATGATCGATGTTGTACTACTGATGTATTGTTGACCATCCATAGGAATTCAGATCTTTTTTACCCATTCTAAGTAGAACTTAGACCTCGATATTTAATTATCATAAATATATATGGTGGCCTCTTGGCACATTGTCGGCATCAGCCACTGTTGGGCTTATCTCCTCAAAGTCCATAATTCGTTGGGTTATTATTAACCCAGTTAGTGAGTTAGGAATTTAGTATAAATATGTGAGATTTATATTAAAATCAGTTGGAGAACACAATATTGTCGTCAGGGAGAGATGAGAGAAAAAATAAAATTGTTGGATGAGAGACACGGTGTATTAGGTGAGGGAACATACACCGTAAACTATTCTATTTTTCAAGTCTAATAGTGATGGTGTGTTTCTCTGTGGACGTAGATCTATCAAGAGATCGAACCACATTAAATTGTGTGTTGTGTGCTTGTTGATTTTTCGTTGTGTGTTAATTGTGTGTGTGATGAGGGGTTTCGATTCCCAAAAGCCACTAGCTCTGATGCATGTTTTTCCTTGCCTTTCATGGAATTTCTTGGTCAGGTGTCCTTATGCCAGTTCAGTCTTTCGTGATTTTGTTACATCTGACTGTATTCTAAAGCGTAATAGTTCTTTGCCAACTATTTGTTCTCCAACTTCAATAAAGTCAATTTGATGGAGTTGTTTAGGCATTATTTCACCTTCTGGTTCCTTTTTGCATGGCTTCTTATCTTAATTTCTCTAAAGTAGTGGACTCTATTTAGTTGATACTTTTGCATTGAGTGAATCTCTTATTGTGTCAAAACTCGAAAGTTTTTTTTTTTTTTTGCTCAAAACTCAAAAGTTAAATATAAGGAATGTAGTAGTTTAAGCATTCAAGGAGATGCTGCATTCTTGATTCTGGTGGAAAATAGAGAAGGTAGCCCATATCAATTCTCTCCTATTTTGGATGATACTTTGTTAATTTGCAATCATTTGCCACGGTTTAATTGGAAAATGTATGCTTGCCTGATTTTCTTATCGCTCATCCCAGCCAAAACCACATTCCGCTTATCTTTATCTGGATTAAGCCTCACCACATACGGAATCTTCCTAGTCGAAAAAGTTGATATTACTGCCCTGTCTCCGTATCCCAGTACTTGATATTCTTATCATAACTGGCAGTCAAGAATTTAGTCCCATTATTGGTAAACCATATATCTCTAACTGCCTTTGAGTGGCCCGTGTAGGTTCTCATACATTCCCCTGAATTGTACACATCCCATATCTTCACCTCAGAATCCATTCCAGCTGAAGGTATCAAATGACCTTGCCCGGGAAAGAATCGAATGGCAGAAACCCCTTTAGTATGTCCCCTCCATGTACGCACCAATGTTTTCAGGGCGTAACAATGATCGTTACTCGCTTTCGCGTCCTTAGGAGGAGCAATCCATGACCTCGCTTGATAATCCCTCTCCTCCTTCCCATGAAAAATATTCTTATCAACCACGCCGGCGTCCTCATTCTCCGCCGCTTCTGTGCCCTTGTTCTTCTTGGCATATTTCTCCGCAGTATACTTCTTCTGCTCCTCAGTTAACTCTTCCCTAACTACTTCCCTCTTGCCAGCAGCCCAGGGGCTCTTTCTATTCTTCTTTACCCAAGCCTCACTCTCCGGATTATCAAATTCCGATGCATCCACTTCTTCCTCACCATCTATATTCCTCCCCCTCTTTTGCTCATTCTTTGGAATGTTGTCAAACGCGGACAAGCCACTAGTCTCCAGCAGAGCATCCATATCGCCGACAACGTAACATTATTGGAGGAGGGATCCGGAGCATAACCGTACTTAGAAAAGGTAGCGTACTGCTCATCAAACACAAAAGGCTCAATGGCCGCATCTTCAACAAAACCTTGCGCGATGCCGTCTTTTGCGTATGGGTGCGCCGGGCCGTAGATCGGGGACCAGAGCTGTTCATATGTAGGATTGAACGAAACCCAGTGCTGAGTTGGATCAATGAGGGGTTTCGACAACTGACCGCCTTTGGAGACCGTGACAGTCAGAGAAAGCATGGTCTCGTCAACCTTGGGGGCGGAAGATTTCGCCGGAAGGATTTGGACCGGCGTTACATCCAGGGAAGAGTCAGTCTCGGTTTTATCCAAAATTTTATCCGCATCATAATCCTTTCCCATAACATTTTAGTTACTAAATTTTGTTATGCATGTTTAATTAAGAATTAAGATTTTCATCAATTTTGTCCAATTAGCCAAACTTCTGTTACACTTAAAATATCCCAAAAACTTATAAAAAAAAATTCTAAAATATGTAAAAAAATAACAAAATAGTTACTTTTCATTTTTAGTTACTTTTTCTATTTCATTTCATTCTTTTTACTAATTTTTTAACCATAAAAACATATATCATATGATCTTTAAAATTCTTTTTTAACTCTAATTTTCACTTGCAAAACATGTGAGTTGGGTTCAAGTGTAATCTCGTTATTTTATATTTTTTTCGGTGAAAATATTTTATATTTTTTAAAACTTATAAATTTTTAATTTTTAATTTTTTTTTTTTACGGTTCTTCTTGTTATACTTCCTGACTTGTGGTACTACTATAGTTACTAAATTTCAAGTATTAATTTACCTTTTATATTTCAACTTCTAGATTAAAAAAAATTTTAAAAAGAAAATGAAGATGGAAAAATTGAGTTGAAATAAACATGAAAAGGTATAGTTTATTATTTTTCAAAAAAAGAAAAAGAAAACTAAAGAATAAGCTAAGAAAATTCTTTCCTCCTTGACTCTAATGTATAGGTTATTTACAAAATATAAATTTTACTTGCGCCCTGTCCTACAATGATTATTTTGTTCATTTTGATAAAAATAACATAAAAAATAGACAATCATTTTTTTGATGGTTAAACTATATAAGTAATCATTAATTTTAAAAGATATATGCATAAACTCTTTAACAGTGTATTTTTATATTTTTAAATAACCTAGAAATTAAAATACTAAAAGTACATTATTTCAGGAAATTTAGTAATGATATTAGTATTAAAATATACAAGTAAAGTGTTCTTAATAAAAATTGTAACCCAAAAAATTTAAAATTTTAAAAGATTATAAAAATAGAAAATAATGAAATTGCCACTGAACCCGACACACATGCATGGCACGTAAAAAACAGCTCTACGTTATGATTTAATATCCAAAATTAATAGAATGACCTCTGATAAATTTTTGGTTTAGTAAGGATACCTATAGTGGGAATAAATTAGAATAATGACCTATCATGCAATACAATCATAGCATAGTCATTTTCAGATCTACAATGGGGGCCTCGGCCCTCACTGACCCCACCATTAACCTTTTACTATATATATATATATATATATATATATATATATATATGTGTGTGTGTGTGTGTGTGTATATGTATATATATTATTTCAATAAAACAAAAAGTAAATAATTTATGTTTTATGAATTTTTTTTTTACTTTTATTCTTTTGCTTAATTTACATTCTCTTAATTACATATTGGGTTGATTAAATACAGTTAACATCTAAAATGAATTTGTACTAATAGGTACTCTATGATTAAAAAAATCAAATAAAGTTACTAGTTTTGTAAATTATAATTATATTAATGATGCATAAATTCTAATAATAATGGTCATATATATTTAAATTATTCAATTCATATAGATCTTTCTTATTCCATAATATTGATACTCATCATGTGTTTGTGTATATGCATGGCATAAGTGTTTTATTGAATAATTTTAATACTTCAAAAGTTATTATTTTTTATAAATGTAATAGTTGTACAAAGAGTTTTTAGCTATAAACACAATAATATGTGTTTGTGTATGAAATATTTAACTCTTGAATGATTTCTAGCTTAATTTTTATGTTACATAATACTATAGGACCCACTTATGACATGCTAGTGGTTCAAAAACATCAAATAAATAATTCATTGTTATCAACACTAATACAATGATATTATGAACTTCTTTCCGGTAAAATATTCATGGCCCCCAGTAAGAACTCGTTCTAGATCCGCTACTGAGCATAGTGACCTTTTTTTCTTATTCACTTATATAAAATACAACCACGAACTACAAATATGCAAAGACCAATCGAGTTTGAAAATAAATTTTAATATTTCTTTAAAGATCATATAGTATATTTTTATGATGATGAAAAATAGTAAAGATAAATAAAATAAAATAGAAAAAAAATAAATAAAAAGTGAAAAGTTTCTATTTTTATTTTTATATTTTGAAGTTGTTATTACACTTTTTGAAACTGTAAAGTTAGTAGGAATTGGACCAATTGGATGAAATTAGTGAAAATTGGTAGAGATAATTATCAAGAGTTTCTTCATACGTGAAGAACTTATCTATTAATGTAGACCACCTATAAATATGACATGTATCTTTTACTTTGTAATTCATTTAGTTATAGTGTAGTCTTCAAATATTATCCTCATTCAACTTCTCTATTTTGTTTATATTGTTCTTCAAATTCTTATTTTTCTTTTAAAATTTCAAACATATAAGATAAAATTAGTTAACTAAAAATTTATACGGTAAGATTGACGACGATGGTAAAATTTTGTGTAAGAATGCAAATTTTTCTCTCCAGTAACTATCACCCTTGGAATGAACAATCTTTAGCCCGTTTCAATTGAGCACCCGATTTTTTTTGTTAATTTTTTCTTTCTTAATTATAGTATTATTTAATAATTTTTGTGACGAATTGTTTAGTTTTATTGGCAGCATTGAGCTCAGAAGGATATCAGAGACTAATTAAATGGTCCACCAACATAGTTAAATTGTGATTGATGCATGGAGTAATGAGTGTTTCATACTCATGTAATGTGTAATGCCTCAACTCTAGATTTTGGCTTACTCTTTTAAACCAAAAGGAAAAAATTCTAGAAAAAATACGTAAACTTTGAAAGAGAAAAATGAGAAAGAAAGGTTTAAAAAAAAATTAAGGTGAAAATAAAGAGAAATGAAAGTATAACTGCACATACATATATATATTTTGCCACGTGGGAAAAAAAAGAAATGAAAATATAAATGAAAAGTATAATCAATAACTAGATGCTTTCCCCGGGCGAATGCCCGGGGTGCCGCCTGTATTTTTAAATCGATTAGATAAAAAATACGAATCATTCTTAAAAGAATAAAAAAAAATAGAAGAATAAAAAATTAATTGAAAGGACAGGAAGTGAGTTATTACACATAAATCTATGCCCAGATTTACAACATTTAATTTAAAACAGTTAAATTATGTTTGGGTTTACATAAATTATCAAACCAATATCTACAACAGAAGAATTAAAAAAAAAAATCATCCTTAAAAAATTAAATTTCTTTCATGACAGCTTATTTTTTCTCTGTTGTAGAAAGAGATGGATTGATAATTGATGTCAGATTTTAAGTAATTAATTTAAAGGCCCGAGTGTGAGAGAGGAGTGGAATAGAAGAGATCCTTTGAAATTAAGAATTAGAAAGACATTACTGGTGTTTCACTTGATTTAAGGGAATTTCCTTACATTCGATTTTATTAACTAAATATTGTTGTTTTAAGGGATTAGTATATACCTATAAATAATAGATTTTTATATAACTATAATTAAGGGATTTATGTATTTATCTATTCCATCCTTTTTTTTTCTGATTAGTTAGAGTGCCACTTGTCAAAAATGATTTTGTACTGAAAATGGCTTTTGACGGGAAAATTTCTATTGTGTTGCTGATACATGTCCTTTTTGTTTGTTGCTTTAATTAATTACTATAGATAATGTTAAAATTCATTGCTATCATTGGAGAACAGCTCGATTCCTACTTGACCATATCGATTATTGATCTTCGCTCCTAAATCTCCTACTGTCCTGCATACGATTTTCCATTGAGGTGACACATCTGGTGAGATATGTAATCATCAACAAGATATGGAGACAATGCTAATTAATTCTAGAAAGTGACATTGCAACCCCATCGTCAAGTCAATCTACCTTCTGTTTCGGATTGCTAATCCAACTTAAAAAAAAAATGCACTTGAGTTTGTCTCCTCCCATTTTCACTATTATTATCAATTAGTAGTATTTTCAAAATTTCTACGGTAAAAGAGTTTTTACAAGGGTACAAATTTTGTTTATTTTCCCCCGTCTTTAAGTTAGCAAAACCAAATTAAGTTTGAAATTTAAGACATCGTCATCAATATTAATAATGTGAAGATATTGTTGTGCTGGTGCAAAATGCATGCGGAGTTTGTTACTATAAAAAATGTAAAAGTCGGTTCGAGTCTACGTGTATGAACAAAGACTTGTTTAAAGTTTAGCCTTAAGAAGAGTTCACTCCAATTGAATGAATGATAACTAGTTTAAGTACTGTAATTTACTATTAACTTGGTTGAGGTTAGATAAACAAGTGGTATATATTCATATGGTTGGTTAATTAATCAGGGTTCCATCTCCACGGCGAACGAGTGAACCGGATTATCTGGTCAAAATAACGTGCAATTTACGGACAAACTCTTTTTGTAGCACTACTAGTACTAGTATAAATTGGACGTCATTTGTTACAGTAACGTCACCCCCATCAAATTAAGTCAAAAAAAGAAAAACAAATCACACAAAGAAACTACCACGATTGATCAAGCAACAATGGCTAACTTAGCTAGTTACTTTATTCTTCTCTTTCTTGGTACTTTGAATTAACATTTTTGTTCATGTCATAATTAGCTTTGCCACATTGTTCGTGAATACTAAGA